TCCCTGCTAAGCTTTTGCATCAATGGTGTCTTCTGTTTGGAGTGAACTCCTTCCTATCTTTCAAATTTCACCATAAACATCACCTCCACAGAGCGCCCTTCCCTGACCTCCTGGTCTAGCGTACCTTCCCCCAAACACTATCTGGTCACCTTCCCTTATTTTCCACTCAGCCCCTCTTGCTGCATAACAATTTGTTATTATATCTCGTGATTCTACGGGTTAGGAAATCAAACAGGGCACAGCTTGTCCTGTTCCGTGAGACCTGGGACTTCTGCTGAGATGACTGTAAGGGCTGGGAGCCTGGGACAACTGGAGGCCGGCTGGGCATCTCTCTCTCTCTCGCTCTCCCCACACCGCTCTACAACTAGCTTGGGCTTCCTTCCAACATGGTGACTTCATGATAGTTGAACTTCTTACATGGCAGCTCAGGGTTCAAGAGACCAAGGCAGAAGCGTCCAGTTCTCTTGAAAGGGTTTGGAGCTCTCCTAGGGTCTCTTCTGCCATCCTCTACGACCAAAGCAGACCCAGGTCAACTCAGATTCAAAGAGAGGGAACAGACCTTCCCTCTCAGGGGAGAAATGTCAAAGAAGTCAAGGTCATATCTAATGTGCCAGAACCATGTTGGCAATGACATATTAGTTTCTTTGTTTACATGTGTAACTTGCTTATTGAGCAAACGGTGAAAGCACAAACAACCCAGTTGTTTTCTCTCTCTCTCTCTCTCTCTCTCTCTCTCATTATTGCTTCTAGATGAATTATGTTGGTTCTCCTTTTCTTGTCTCTTAATAGCATTTTGGGCAGGTCTTCTAATGTTCTTGTCACTTTAATTTATTAAAGGCCCAGCTCCATCTAGGCTTGTCTACCCAATGTAAGTATAACACCTTTCTTTCCCTAAGACAGGGCCTGGATTTGGCTCAAGAGAGCTGGGCAGGGCATGGTCTGTCCCTGTACTCCTCCCCATTCCCCTCTCTTTCTTTCACATGGGCCAGGAAGGAGAAATTGGGGGTAAAGTCCCCCTTAGCTGGGGCCATTTCTTCTCTGGCTATGACTATGGCTCCCATGACAGTTGCCAACTGTCTTGTTGGTACAGCACAGGGATACCCTAGAGCACTGTCCCCTGAGGTGTTTCTTTTCCAGCTCTCTATCTGATACATCCCACTCAGCAATTGCCCCAACCCTATACCCACAGCCTGCAGGGTCTCCTCACCTGCAGGTCTCCCTCTTGGGAGAACATGGGCAAGGATGCTCCTGGCCATTCACTTTCACCGTGTCCCCCTGACCCGTGGGAAATTCCTGCTGGATGCCCCAAGGTGTCCCCTCTCTCTGTTCCCTGTCACTCTTCAGTTCTCCACTCCCCCCAGTTCCTATTCAGATAGCACCTGGGCAAATCCAGCTCCACGGAGGGAGGAGGAGGAGGGACCAGCAACCCAGGTCTCCAGCGACCTCACCGCCCTCTCCTTTCCTGGTCTTCTGCTTATGGAGAAGGGGATGCTCAAGATGGTGCTGGGTGATGTTTGGGCCTAGCACAGTGATCAGCAAACTGGCCCCTTGAGTATGGCTCTTCCACAAAATACCACGTGCGGGCACCCACGTACAGTGCGATTGAAACTTCGTGGCCCATGCCACGGGGCCAAAGAGCCCAATGTGGCTCATGAGCCGCGGTTTGCCGACCACTGGCCTAGCAGAACTACTTCAGCCACCTCTTAGTAAATCCTGTAGGCAGGTGTGTCCAGCCCCAAATTGTTTCTTCTTTGTTTTAGAGTGTGGGGGATCAACGCTCCTTTTTCCTTAGTTCTACGCCAGCCACCAGTTTGAGCACCATAAAGTCCACCCA